TGCATAAATTGAAGACAGCACCACATGAATTTACTGTCCTAAAAAACACTCTACAATCGTTTTCATTTTGAGGAGGGAGGAAGCCATTGTTCTTCCTCCTCTCTCTCATTCTCCCTTACCCTTCTTCTATTTTTCCCAATTTTCAGAGACAAAGGGTTTCTCTTATTTGTCTTTGTTTTGTAATGATTTTCCTCCACTCATCACAGACGGATGCGTCTCGGCATCGGATCTCCATCTACGTTTCGGTGTCGGATCTCTACCACCATCCTTTTTGTAGTTTCTTTATGTTTGGAATAAGTCGCATATACTCTTTGGGTTTTTGTGTAGTTTTTACCTATCCTTTGTGAGAGCTTTTCACCTCTCCTTTGTGAGAGTTTTATTTGTCTTTTTATGGCTTGGTTTTTTCAAGCTTGATCTATTTTTGGTTATTCTGAGTTTGCACTCTTAATTGAGATGTCTATGCCAGAATTTCTTTAATTCTGCGTGATCGTTAGTGGAGGAGCCTTAGATTGTCTTAATTTTGATGTTAGATCACTTAGTTATTATAATGGCTCTTTGTGGTTAGTTTGTTTTTTTGACTGAATTATGAATGTAATTCCATAATTCTTTTTAAAAATACATAGGCTAAAATGTAATAATATTATCGAACTCAATGAGCAGTGATAACTTTAGTAGTAGAGTAATTTCATTCATAGCTCCTGCAATAGTTTAAAGCTCTATGATTGTACCCACTAGAAAACGAATAGAGCACTAGTTATTAGGAGGCGGTGGTTCTGTTGATATACATGTAGGTAAACCAAGCATAGTAGGTCGTGTGAAATAATGTGACAAATATTGGTGGCACATGGGTGAGCATGAAGAGTGGTAGCCTTATATCCTTGTCACTTAGCCCAAAGACCCCATCAAAATATATGCTTGTACGTTTGGCCAACTTTGAGGGAACATTTTTGTTTTTTTGACTGAATTATGAATGTAATTCCATAATTCTTTTTAAAAATACATAGGCTAAAATGTAATAATATTATCGAACTCAATGAGCAGTGATAACTTTAGTAGTAGAGTAATTTCATTCATAGCTCCTGCAATAGTTTAAAGTTCTATGATTGTACCCACTAGAAAACGAATAGAGCACTAGTTATTAGGAGGCGGTGGTTCTGTTGATATACATGTAGGTAAACCAAGCATATTAGGTCGTGTGAAATAATGTGACAAATATTGGTGGCACATGGGTGAGCATGAAGAGTGGTAGCCCTATATCCTTGTCACTTAGCCCAAAGACCCCATCAAAATATATGCTTGTACGTTTGGCCAACTTTGAGGGAACATGGGGTGCCTTAGCTGGCTTACAATACTTGCGCTAAAACACAAAAACAAAATCTCAATCTGATCATCTTTTTGTTGGGGTCCATTTGCTAAATTGCCTACCCTAATCTAATCTCCACCTCTCCGCATTGCTTTTCAAGATTTGGAGGACAATTTTTTATTATGATTGGGGGGGGAGGAGGGGGCGTTAGTTTTGGAAGCGGGATTTAAGAGAGGTCATATAAATGGCATTTTACTTTCACCATATATATCCAATAATTTGAGAGAGAGAGAGAGATGAGTGATCACATCATATGGGTCGGTGACCGACAAGTCTAGTGTCTTCAAAGCATTGTAGCTTTGGTCATTTGGTGGGTAGTAAACATCAAATAGGAGGCCGGAAAATGAAGGGGGATTTGGCAATATGCTCACCAATATACATACAACTATAAAAGCAGCTGTCTTAGGAGGGGTCACAACAAGTAACCCTAGCTCCAAGATAAGTCACAAAATCTCATCTAAAGTGGCAGCAAGAAATTATGGCTTCACTCCTTTTTTCTTTGGCAACTTTGACTATAATGCTTGTTTAGATGTGTGCCAAATAAAAGAAAAGATGTGGGACCAAATTCATGGTTCATATTGATATGTGCTTGATCATTATTTCAACGGTGCTGCGATGTGCTTTAAATGGTTTCATAATATGTGATGTGTAGCATCATGCTAGACTTGCTACAAGTGCAAGAGAGGATATCTAGGGTTTGGTTAGAAGCAAGCAACTTTAGCTGTTGTTTTGTCACCTCTTGACCCACACAGCTATAAACAAACTTCTTTGGCGTTGGGAGGCCTTAATTTCTTCTTCGACGTTCTTAATTAACAGCAAATGTTCACCAATCTCCTACTAACTATATACTAATGAATTTAAGCACTATGCAACATAAGTTAGGCCAGTTGGTCAAGATAGTGTGTCTGCTCTCTTGCACCCGTGTTCAACTCCCTCCTCGTACATTAGAGTAGTTTAAAATATCATTTTAATAATAATAAAAAATTTAAATTCAAGCATTATGACTGGAAGAAGGAAGAAAATTACTTATACTTGCATTGAAGGGACCAAGGTGGTCCATGAACCATGATGGCCATGACCAATCTGATCACATTTTGCATGAAATGGTTAGGGTTCTTGACTGGTACATAATCACCCATGTGCCCCTTGAGACCCAGAATTGTCAATGTGATTGCAGAGTGAAAGTCACTCGCATGTGGCATGTGTGGGCTGGATCATTAATAATTCAACGGTGCTGATGTAAAACCTAGCTACTTTCTTTTATTAAAAAAACTATCTATTTAATGCATCACTGTCATTACCAAATAAACACCAAAATGTAAATAATAATCTAATCATCATTATAGCACAAATTAAGTATTTGATCTTCATGATCAAGTAGTACTTCAATTTCTTCCCGTCTCCGCAAACATGATTTTCCTTTATTTTTTCCAATTTTGGTAGGTATGCGTCTCCTATCATGCCACTTACTTTCCTTGTAATGCTAAAAACTGTGATGGTTGTGTTTCATCACTTTACTTACTTTCCTTATATATAAAATTTGAGTAATTTTCTTTCATTTTAATCAATCAGTGTCAATCCACAATACCTGATACATTGCCGATATTTACACGAATGAAGTTATTTATAGGCCGAAAGTGGCCTTGACATCTTTCATTTTCTTAACTTTTTAAATGTATATAAAGTGTAGTCATAGATTGCAATGAGGAATCTTATGATTTTAAGTTTGTGGCGTACTCAAACATAAAACTCTACATCCGTGTTCATAGATAGATGTTGATATCTAATAAATTGACTGCGTAGGTATCAAATATTGTAAATTGATATATGTAATCACTTCCCATTTGAATGTACAAGCACCATTCTCTGTTGTATAAACAGATTTTTAAACATGAAAATGTGGCCATTTAAGGCATCAAAATAAAATAGTTGTGCATGACACATGAAGGGAGGAATGGAGGAATTTTTTGGGGTTTCTCCCAAGCTTATACTATGCTCCCCACCCCATGTAGGTTGTAGCTGTAGACTTGTAGACTTGTAGTTGTTGGAATGATGAGAGGCCAAGGGGTGGCTGAGGCTCCACCGTCCAGTCCAACCGGTCCACCATGAAAAGGTGACGACCCAGCAGAAGAAAAGTGACTGATATCATCCAAATTAATCCAAATTAATGTCAATAATTTCATACAAGAATCTTTGCATAAAAAATGAAATAAATTCATACAAGAATCCAACTGTGGTAGGAGAGACGTCTAATATTTAGTTTAGTGCATCTAAATTCCAAAGTTGCAATTTGGTGGTGTTTTTCATTACTTTTAGAAGAAAATATTGAGAGTTTGCAATTGCTAACGTAAAGCTTAGACATGTACAGCTCCCCACTTGTTCATTCTTTATATATGGCAGCTTTGTGTACATAGTGTTATTATTATATACAGTATTGAATTCAATGTAGATAGAAATACATGTGGAACTTTGCTACATAAATTACAAAATATTGATTTAGTATCATTTGGTTTGCTAAAAGTAGTATAAACTATTAAAACTTAAGAAGAGCCGTAGCAATGAAATCAGATCAATATATAGATTCCCCAGCCATAATCGTGCAAACCTCCAACCACACTGTATAATGCATTTTCTTAAATAAAAAAGATGGGATGTTATTGACACTCCAAATCATGCACAACCAAGAATGACTAATCTTTCATTAAATTGCTAATCTAACATGATGACAACTGCACACTTCCGTTCATTCTACTCCTTTCCATGAATAAGCCCAAAGGAATATTTGGCATAATTATTTAGTACAATCCGTGGTATCTAATAAGGGAAAAATATGTATAATTGGTAGGTTTATTTAAAGTAAGATTGATAAATCGGCCAAAATAGGAAAACAACATATGTACGAACTTGATACGTTAGTGTGTTATATAATATTATTTTGTAACAAAAAATTATGGTCTAAATATGTAACTATACTAAAATTTAATTTCCATTAGGGTTTCATGGTTGTCCTTGTTTTGAGAGAAAAGAAACAAAATGTAAAAGGTTGATTAATAATGGAGTTCCTTTTTGTTTTGTACTTATATATGCTAATCAAACACACGTATTACGATCCCTTAATAAAGAATTAAAAGAAAAGCCAGCAAAACTATGTAGCACGAGCAACTCAATAGGGCCACGGGGGAGAGACATAATGAAAGATTACCAAAGCAATGAAAAGGAACAGAAATTATTCCTTGAATCCAGAAATATGCAGAACCCCAAAAAAAGAACATTATGCAGATCTTAAGCAGGGGTAGATTAGTCATTTGGGTTCCCTTAAACACTTTTCTCCTCCCTCCATATCCACACACCGAAAAGTGAAAAATGATGACAAAAGTGGGCAAAATTTTCAAAAGTAACGACAAATGACAGCATAACTCTCAGAATATTATTACTTAAAATGTCAATGGATTTTTCAATTCACAATAGTTTCCAAGATTAAGAAAACTTACAAAATGAGTTTTTTAAAAATTATTTTTGTTGCCGGGAAAATTACAAAATGTGTTACTTTTTTACTTCCTCGTTCTCTTTCTTGCCTTTACAGTTCATGAGTCATCAAATAGTGACAGTTCCAAATCTGTCAAATATACTACACAAAACCCAATAAAGAGAGAAGAGTAGTGGGAGTCTCCTGTTTGAGGAGAAAACAGAGTAAAAAGAGAGAAAATGGGGTGAAACTGTAATGTATGCAGCTGGAGTTTTCCAATCATAGCTGCTTGATCAGAACCCCATTTCCAGTTTTTCATTCCTTTGGCATGTACTTGATCCAAACGGAGCAGAAAGAATCAGTCTTTTCAGTCTCTATTGAAACTCATTTGCTTTACATGTGAAAGCTGTTGTGTGTACCCTTGAATGGTAGCTTTGCATTGTCTATCAGAACCCACCACTGAAATCATTCATTAAGGTTGGTTTTAATCTTATGGTTCATAAAGGATTAGCTTCTGCAGTTTTTATGAAGACCCATCTGCTCAAAACTAATGCATTTATGTTTCTTTGATTTGTAGGTTCACTTGTTGATTGGAAATCCAGCACCGGCTGTCACTCAATCTTCTGGTAAGTTCCTGATCTTATGTTTAATAAGAGAGTCAAGTCTTTTTTTTTTTTTCTTCTGTTTTTTTGCAATCCATTTGCAAAATAAAAAGCTCATCTTTGAGTGGTATGTTCGCTTGCCCATGAACTCCTTCCTGTGTTTGATCATTGTGTTGGTTTTTTGTTTTAGTAGTTCAAGTATGGCTTCTCATTTTGCGAAGTGTTGATTAGGTGAAAAAGCTCCTTTATTCTGAGTTTTATTGGGGTCAATTTCTGGATCACCTAGTTTTTGTATTTTCCAATTTTTAGCACTTATATGAATTTTGATTTCTCATATATCAAAGACAACCTCAGTTTGCCACATTGTTTGTTTTTTTCTTGATGTCCTCTTGCTTAGTGTTACTTATTTTCTTCCCTTGGATCAATTGCATCTGTCTAATAGAGCAGGCAATCTGCAATTTCCTATCATTGGTTTTGTCTTGATAACTTCTTGCTGGTAGAACTTTATGCCATTCCGACAATCTCTTTAAAGTTTTCTTGCACTTACATTTTCTTTGGTGATTTTGGTGTCCAGGCAGGAGTGAGATATACAGAACTGTAAAGCCTCCTTTGGAATATTGAGCGGTGGAAGTTCATTGAGCTGATAATCTGGCCTGGATCCATTATCTGGGGGTTTATTACTGGTACAAGGATCAGGCCTTTCCCAAGTCAAAACCAGTTCTGTTGTTGTGCTGCGCTGGAGTCATGGCAACCCTGTTACATTCTGAGTCCAGACGCTTATATTCTTGGTGGTGGGACAGTCATATTAGCCCAAAGAATTCAAAATGGCTTCAGGAAAATCTTACAGGTCTTGATATTTTCCTTGCATTTATTTGGAACTATACTAATTACCGGATAGAAACTTCCAATTGTTTCTATCTCACTGTGTATTAGGAACTTTATTTAGTAGGGTTTGGATTGAAATCAATTTTATTCAGATGCATATATAAACTCTGCACTAATTATATAGCCTCTAATCACATATGACGGCGAGTCATAACAACAAGACATAGCATTTTGGTAGTGATGCATGGATACCAACATAAAGATCTTAAGTAAAATATGCCTGTATTCTTCTCTTTTGGATGTTAATTTTAAAAACTAAACATCCCCTTTCTTAATCCTTCTGTTTTCAAATGAATAGGAAAGGAGAGACGAGACAGAGACAAAAGAGATGTGATAGTGGAGGGGGGAGAATAGATAGAACTAACACTAAGTACTGAAAACCATTTATGATTATCTTCAATTTTTATTTTATAAACCATTCTATATGTGGCCAGCTGTGTTCACACGCCTGGTTAGGATCTGTCTGGCCTACATAGGTGATATGCCTATGTATAATTTTTTCATGACTTGTCACTTTTCGTCAAACTACGATCAAGATCATCCATGTTAATTTGAACATGAAACTAGATTGTGTTCAGCTAAACCAAAAATGAATGGAAACAAGATATGGTGGATCTCAAGTTTTGTGATGTATGATGTTAGGATGATACAATGTCAAGTATATGCAATATGTTTTAAAAGGAATTTTCAGGTCATGGTAGATAAGGAATATTTAAAAAAAATTATATATCTGAACTACAAACACTAGTTTGGTCACCCTTAAAGGCTTCACCTCTGGACCTTGATCATTTTTTTTATGCTGCTGTGTATATTCCAAACCAGAGGGGTCTTTCTGATGAATATGCTTTCGTGTGTGAAGAAGTCTAAAAAAAGAAGCAATACAAATATCTTCTCATTTTCATTGTAGGAATGGGAAATGTGTCGGCTTTAGAAGTACAAGAAGTTAATGGTCCAAGCATGAACCATCTAAAATGGTGTCAGAAACATAAGAATGATAACATGCAGTTCATATTTGCTACTAATTAAAGAGTTATATCGATCCAAATTCTTGCTAGAAAGTTGCTCTCAACCTGGAATTCCTTGAAATTTTAAAGAGATTGTATAGTTGCTTAATCAAATAATACTTGTCTGTTGGATTTCGTTTTATCTCCTCAGCATTTGCACTTGAGCATGTTTTTGCATATGGATGTCTTCGGAATTTTCAGGCTACATTCTTAATCAACCCTAAATCTTATTTTGCAGACATGGATGCCAAAGTCAAAGCAATGATCAAGCTCATTGAAGAAGATGCAGATTCTTTTGCAAGGAGGGCAGAAATGTACTACAAAAAACGCCCAGAGCTCATGAAACTGGTTGAGGAATTCTATCGAGCTTATCGTGCGTTAGCAGAGAGGTATGATCATGCAACTGTGGAGCTGCGCCAGGCTCATCGAACCATGGCAGAAGCATTTCCCAACCAAGTACCTTATGTATTGGCAGATGAATCACCCTCAGCAGAGAGGTATGATCATGCAACTGTGGAGCTGCGCCAGGCTCATCGAACCATGGCAGAAGCATTTCCCAACCAAGTACCTTATGTATTGGCAGATGAATCACCCTCAGGCTCTTCTGGCCCAGACGTTGAACCTCATACACCTGAAATTCCACATCCAGTTCGTGCCTTATTTGACGCAGATGACTTGCATAAGGATGCACTGGGACTCTCATCAACTAACTTACAAGCTTTGAAAAGGGGTTCAGTAGACTCTGAATCAGGAATAAGCAAAAGAGGTCTGAAACAGGTCAATGAGATGTTCAATCCAGGAGAAGTGCCAAATAATTTAAAGGTTGCAGAGGGAAGGATGGGAGAAGGCTTAAGTTTCCAAGAAGCAGAAGAGAGCAAACAAAAGTTGCAAAGTGGGTACTCTCAGTTAACAAGTGAGAACCAGAGTCTCAAGACCCAGGTTCTTTCTCAATCTGAGCGTGCTGCAAAAGCTGAAACTGAAGTTCAAACCTTAAAGAAAACTCTACATGAGATACAAGCTGAAAAAGACGCAGTCCTTCTTCAGTACGAGCAGAGTTTGGAGAAGTTATCTAAACTGGGGAGAGAACTAAATGATGCACAAATGGCTGTTGGAGGGCTCGATGAACGAGTGAGCAAAGCTGATATTGAAACTACAATATTGAAGGAAACTCTTGTGGAATTAGAAGCGGAGAGGGATGCTGGTCTTCTTCAGTACAATCGTTGTTTGGAAAGGATATCTAGCCTGGAGAGCATGTTATCTTTTGCCCAAAGGGACGCAAAAGGACTTAATGAGCGAGCTATTAAAGCAGAAACTGAAGCTCAAAATCTCAAGCAAGAACTTTCTACACTAGAGGCTGAAAAGGAAGGTTTTTTTCTTCAGTACAAGCAATGTCTTGAGCAGATATCTGTTCTGGAGACTAAAATCTCAGTTTCTGAGGAAAATTCCAGAATGCTTAATGAACAAATTGAAAGAGCTGAAGGTGAAATCAAATCTCTGAAGGAATCTCTGGCTATACTGAAGGAAGAGAAAGAAGCTGCAGCTCTTCAATACAAGCAGTGCATGGATACAATTTCTAAGATGGAAAGTGAAATTTCTCATGCTCAAGCAGATGCTGAACGACTGAAAAGCGAAATTTTGACAGGGGCAGCAAACTTAAAGAGTGCCGAAGAACAATGCGTTCTCTTGGAGAGATCAAATCAGTCTCTGCGGTTAGAGGCGGACAGTCTGCTGAAGAAGATTACAAGTAAAGATCAAGAACTTTCAGAGAAGAATGAAGAGATGGAGAAATTTCAGATTTTGATGCAAGAGGAGCACTTGCGGTTTGTGCAAGCTGAAGCCACTCTCCAAGCTCTAAAGAAGTTGCACTCCCAATCTCAAGAGGCACAGAAAGCTTTAGCACTGGAGTTCAAAAATGGCCTTCAAATGTTGAAGGAATTGGAGATACGCAAACAAGGTATGGAGGATGATATCCAGCAGGTTAAGGAGGAAAATAAGAGCTTAAGTGAATTGAATTTTTCTTGCACTATCTCGATAAAGAATCTTCAAGATGAAATATTTAACATCAAAGAGATGAAAGAGAAACTTGAACAGGAGGTTGCGCTAAAATCAGACCAAAGCAATGCCCTCCAGCAACATATATTCGATTTGGAGGAGGAAATTAAGGGATTGAACAGAAGATACCATGCTATGGTGGAGCAGGTGGAATCAGCAGGTTTAAATCCTGAATGCTTTGAGTCATCTGTGAAAGACTTGCAAAATGAAAAGGCAAAGCTAAAAGATATCTGCACAAGGGACAGAGAAGAGAGAGAACTTCTTTATGAGAAATTGAAGGATATGGGTAAACTTTCAAAGGAGAATGCCGTTCTGGAGAGTTCGCTGTTGGGGTTGAATGGTGAGTTGGAGGGTTTGAGAGAGAAGGTCAAAGAATTGCAAGAGTCTTGCCAGTTTCTCCAGGGAGAAAAATCCATTCTTGTTGCTGAGAAAGCTATCCTGCTTTCTCAGTTACAAATTATCACTCAGAATATGCAGAAGCTTTTTGAGAAGAACACCTTGCTGGAAAATTCCCTCTCTGGGGCAAATATTGAGCTTGAACGGTTGAGAGCAAGATCAAAGAGCTTGGAAGAGTTGTGCCAGTTACTCAATAATGAGAAGTGCAATCTTCTTAATGAGAGAGGCACCCTTGTATTTCAGTTAAAAGATGTTGAACAGAGACTGCGAAACCTGGAAAAGCGGTTCACAAAATTAGAGAAAAAATATTCTAAGCTGGAGAAGGAGAAAGGCTCCACACTTAATGTTGTAGAGGAACTATGGGGTTCCCTTCATGCAGAAAAACGAGAGCGTGCAAGTTATATACGGTCAAGTGAGGCTCGGTTAGCAGGTTTGGAAAACAATTTCCATGTCATGCAGGAAGAAAGAAGGCTGGGAAAGAAAGAATTTGAAGAAGAACTAGATAAAGCTCTAAATGCCCAGATTGAGATCTTTGTCCTTCAGAAGTTTATAGAAGATCTGGAAGAGAAGAATTTTTCATTATTAATTGAGAGTCAGAGACATGTTGAGGCATCCAAATTTTCTGATAAGCTGATCGCAGAATTGGAGAATGAAAATCTTGAGCTACAGGTGGAAGAAGAATTCTTGGTGGGAGAAATCGAAAAGTTAAGGCTGGGAATTCGTCAAGTGTTCAGGGCTCTTCAAACTGAACCAGATAGCCATGAAAATAAGAGTGCACAAGACCAAGTACCTGTGCTGCACATTTTGAATACTATTAAGGACTTGAAAACTTCTTTGTTTAGGAGCAAGGATGAGGAACAACAGTTGCTGGTTGAGAAGTCAGTGCTCCTAACTTTACTTGAGGAGATGAGATTAGAGGGTGCAGATATAGAATTAGCAAAACAACTCTTCGAGCACGAGTATGAGATTATCGTAGACCGTTGTTCTACGCTACAAAAAGAGAAGCATGAGCTTCTAGAGATGACAAGGCAGCTGAGGTTGGAAGTCACCAGGAAAGAGCACAAGGAGGAAACATTAGAGGCTCAATTGCAAACGCTTCAAGCTAAGCTGGAAAATTTTCAGGATGCTTATGTGGTTTTGCACAATGAGAACTCCAAGGTGCTTGAAGAGAGAAGATCTTTGCTTAAGAAAGTTTTGGACCTGAAAGAGGAAAAGCAAATGCTTGAAGAGGAGAATAGTGTTAATTTCCATGAAGCACTAGCTTTCAGCAACCTCTCTTTGGTTTTAGAGAGCTTCACAATTGAAAAAGCTGCGGAACTAAAGGCACTTGCTGAAGATCTCAACACCCTCTTTGTAATTAACAATGACCTTATAGAGGCTGTTGGAATATTGGGGGAGAATTTAGTGATGAAAGAAGTAGAAAATCTACATCTGAATGAGACGGTCCACTTGTTGGACAAAGAACTGAGTGAAGCCAACGACTTAAATGGTCAACTAAGCTATCAAATTGCAGTTGGAAGGGATTATCTGAAACAGAAAACCATGAAGCTCTCAGAGGCAGAAGAGAAGCTTGAAAAGACAGAGGAATTGAATCTGCAATTATGTAGAACATTTCAGGAACTGAAGATGGAATATGAAGAATCAAAAATTGTGAGAGAAAATTGTGAGAAGCAGATTCTTGAACTATCTGAAGGTAGCACAAATCAGAAAAAGGAAATCGTTGGCCTTCGTGAAGCGAATGAAATTCTGGAGAATGAAATCTTGTGTAAAGCAATTGAAAAAGAAATAGAAAATCTACATCTGAATGAGACAGTCCAATTGTTGGACAAGGATCTGTGTGAAGCCAAGGACTCAAAAGCTCAGCTAAGCCATCAAATATTAGCTGGAATGAATTCTCTGAAACAGAAAACCATGGAGCTCTCAGAAGTTGAAGAGAAGCTTAGAAAGACTGGGGACTTGAATGTGGAATTGTGCAGAACCGTTCAGGAACTGAGGATGGAAAATGAAGATTCAAAACTACTGAGAGAAAATTGTGAGAAGCAGATTCTGGAACTATCGAAAGATAACTCAAATCAGAAAAATGAAATTGATAGCCTTCACAAAGCAAATGGAACTCTGGAGATTGAAGTGGGCATCTTAAGTGAAGTAATTGAAGAACATAGAATTAGAGAAGAGAATTTGAATTCAGAGCTGCAAGAAAGAAGCAATGACTTTGAACTCTGGGAGGCTGAGGCTGCAACATTCTATTTTGATTTTCAAGTTTCTGCTGTCCGTGAAGTTTTTCTTGAAAATAAAGTTAATGAGCTTTCTGAAGTTTGTGAGAGTCTTAAAGATGAAAGTGCTACAAAAGGTGTGGAGGTTGAACAAATGAAAGAAAGAGTTAGCTCCTTGGAAGGTGAAGTTGGAGGACTGATGGCCCAGCTGTCTGCATATGTTCCTGTTGTAGCCTCATTGAGAGAGAATGTAGCATCTCTTCAGCACAATGCCGTTCTTAGAACAAAGCTTCTTGTGGAAAGCAATCAACAATATAAGGTAATATTTTCCCTCTTTTGAGAAACATTAATGATCATGATGATTCAGAAGTTACAATCTGAGCTAGGTAGTTGCTCCATTTTTGGTTTTGACAGCATAAACCCAAATTAATTGGCTTGAATTTCAAGGGAACCTTCAAGAACATAGAAGTGTATCTGTTTAGTGTGTGTTTTTGGCCATTGGCATGGAGGAAATGTGTATCTAACTGCTATCATAAGTTCACATGAAATTCCAGTTAGTTCTGAGAGTCGTGTTTATATTAAACTTAAAACATTCTTGTTCTGGCAAAGGCCTTCGCAACAGAAACATATTTGAGAAAACAAGTCTGCAAGTTGTCTTGAAGTCTTGATTTTCTCGACTGTGACATGTAGTTTTTGTGTGCATAATTGAAGTCTTAGTGCTAAAACCTAAGACTTAATTAACATGCTTGTGTCTGATTGCACCATTCTGACCATCGCCATTGCTAGCTGCTGCTCTTCTTCTTTCTTCTAATTTGCTTTTTACTTCTAGGATATTGAACCACAAAATTATCTACATCAAAAGAGCTGTCAGGATTCCAGAGAAGATCGAAGCACATTGATACCAGACGGAATTTCAGAATTGGAAAAAATGCAGACTATGATCAAAGAAGTTGAAAAGGTGTTTGTAGAAGAAATGGAAAGGCTTGCAATTGAAGCAGTTGAAAAGGCAATGGTGGAAGAAATGGAAAGGCTTGCAACTCAGGAAAGTACAAAAAACAGCAACATCAAAGTGGAGGTTTCTGTGGAGATCGAAGAGCTAAAATTGAAAGGTACCTCACTTCAAGGAAAAGGCAGTAAAAGTGAAGAGCTGAAACTTGTGAATGAGTTTACTGATGAAAATCTCAAGTTGCAGAGGATGAAATCTGATAATGGGACTTCGATGAAAGATATTCCACTTGATCATGTTTCAGATTGTTCATTTTATGGAAGAAGCAGGAGAGAGAATGGTGGGGCGGATGATCAAATGCTTGAGTTATGGGAAACTGCTGAACAACACTGCCGTCAGGATCCAGTGACCAGTGAGATAGAAAATCAGAAATCTGCACCAAGGGAAGATGTGGCTTACCATCGGTTTGCAGATTCGCAGCAGATCATTCAAAATTCTTCTTCGGAAGTTCAGGTTGAGAAGGAGTTGGGCATTGACAAGCTGGAGGTGTCCCTTGATATTCAAGGGCCGAGTCATGAAGGCAAGAAGGAAAAGATATTGGAGAGACTTGCTTCTGATGCTCAGAAACTGACAAGTCTGCAAACAATTGCTCAAGATTTGAATAAGAAGATGGAGACAAACAAGAAGGGTAGAAAGGCAAATGGCACTGAATATGAAACAGTCAAGACACACTTGCATGAAGTTGAGGAGGCAGTTGTGCAGCTAGCAGAAATAAATGATCAATTGAAAAAGAATATCGAAGAGTCTCCGTTGAACGAGCAGACGTCCATGGAGTTGGAGGAGGCTGGAAATGTCCGGAGAGAGAGAATACTCGAACAGGCAAGTAAAGGGTCTGAGAAGATTGGAAGGTTGCAGTTTGAGTTACAGAACATTCACTATATTTTGCTGAAATTGGAGGATGAAAACAAAAACAAAGGGAGGAACGGATTTTACGTAAGTAGAACAGGTGTTCTCCTGAAGGATTTTATTTACAGTGGCAGAAGTAGTGAGAGGCGCAAGAAGGCTCGTGTGTGTGGGTGTATGAGACCCTCCACAAATGGAGACTGAGGAAGTAACCACTTTAGAGGGAAGCATATTTTATTGGCTTTTAAGTTTTCATTCCATGAAATGGTCCTAATATTATTACCTTAAGCGAATCATTTCCTGGATTAGTTGGTGAAAACTGAACTGTATTAGCTCAGATTCTCTGTAAGATTTAGGCTTGATCTAATCAAAATAAGATGCTTCCTTCTGCTTTTCATCTCATAATAAACTGGAGAAACTCAAAATAATACAAGCTTCTTTTTTTTCTTCAATTCATGTTTTCCAATAAGATGGGAAATGGATAGAGTTGAATATTAACCGGATTTTGAACCAAGACCTTCTTGGGTGTGGTATAACATCTGAAGCAGGAATTTAATGGATGTAATGCTTAATGATCCTCAATTTCAGATTTCTATACATATCTTTTTTACCAAATTATTATTATTTTTTATAGTGGTGATTCTGTTTGCATAATTCAATTCAACCGATCATATATTGGCAACGACAATCAGGGAGAGACAAATGCTCCAACTCTTTGAAACAACACCTTATTTATAAAGAGTAACATTATTAACCCGAAGTACTCACCTCACCTACCCACTTATCCACTCTAAAATATTTAGAGAAACCCTTCTGCCAAAGTCTACAAAATATCACCATTGCCTCGCCCAGTGAGCCCACCCTCATTGCATCTAAGTTTGAATCCAAATCCTCTCACGATATTATATCACTTGTATTTTAAAAAAAAATCACTGATATGAAAGTAATGCCCATTGCCCCTTGAGTTGGGAGCTACCTTAGACCTTGGGGGCGATGCTCGAGGCCTTAAGTTGTGGGGCCTGGTCATGAAGCAACACCAACACCCTTCTTGTATTTCATTTCATGGAGCATCACTCAGACAACGTGGGAGTGCCTCAGGCAGCCAATGTCTTTTGTCTTTTTCCGTAAATCAGGACTCTGAAATCGGCGACTGCCTTCAAAATTGGTGAAGCTGCAAAATAGTTTCCCAACACTCGAACTGATATAGGGAAAGGATCAAAACACATATCCCGTTCAGCCTTTCTGCATGTTTTGCCAGTCCACTTTAATTGTACCGATTGAATAAAGGCAAAAAACCTTTTATGAAACAACATGCGGAGTGATGCTATTTGACCTGTACTTTTGGTACACATTACATGGTAGATGTAATAGGAATAATATAATAGTGAATGTAAAATGCAGGATTCAAAGATAATCTCGGATTAAATATAATAAAAACTTAGTATTTGGATTAAAGCACAAAATTTCGGTCAAGCAACTTTCTTTTCCTCACAGCTAGAACATAACAAGCAGCAAGTAATACGGTCTTCAAGTTCACAAAACATAAATCGAGCAACTCTAAAATAGAAGAAAATGAACAAAGGCTGTTTTTAAGCTCCAACGATTTCTGGTGGGGGCTCAGTCACTGCTTCTTCAGCAGGTCTTTCAACCTTCTGACCAACATCTTCATTACCACCATGGACCTACAGATACAAAGTCCATTTTACTTCATCAATATCCAGCTACTGTCAAAATGCATTAGCGTGTGACAGATCATGATGCAAAAATGCCACCAATAATGATTGATATAAAGCAGATGTCAGGGAATGAAGGGTTTCAAACTATTACTGAACTCCTAATCCTCAGAATGAATATAATAATGACAGAAAAGCTCGAGTATTCCAAAAGTACTATAGTCAGGAGGACTCATTTATATCTTAATAATGTTACAAATGCCCAATAAATAAAAAAACCGTTTGCACTGTCAGTCAACTCTGCATGCTAAAACAGAAAAAGGGCATACCTCCATTAGCTTGGTAAGATCAAACTTCGGTGCTTTCAAGATCTTGACTTTCCGGATGAAGACATTTTGCAATGGATAGATGCTCATGGTTGCCTTCTCAATCTCTTTACCGATACTCTCAGCAATGAACTTGCGAACCAAGTCCTTTAGATCACTAGATGTCGCCTGGGCGACCATGATCTCCCTCATCTTACGGCGGATCTGACAGAATCAATGCAGCATTACATCATGTTACAGCTAAACAAAGACTTCCAACTATGACTAAAAACATACATTTCATGGTAATATTTCTAATATAAACATGTAAACCCTAAAGTCAATATTACCTGTCTAATCTGGCTAGATTGTGCATAACAGGTCCTCTTGACCTGATTTGGACGTCTCTTGGTGAAGCCAATGCAGAACAACCTGAGAGTGTAGTTGTCTGTGGTCTTCACATCCACATGAGCTTCAATTAAAGTTTGCCATTTCCTCACCAATGACCTCAACTTGTCAGTTGTGAAGTTCATTCCCTGAATAATCCAATAAAACATCAGTAGAGGTGGAAATAAATTTATATTAGAAATCATTAAAATAAAAAAACATATGGACATTATAATTTTCTTACCCAGAAATTTGTAAGAACGTTCCTCCCTTGGACATCTTCAGCTCTCAATCGCATCTTTCTGTAAGCATGTTCCTCATCACCCTGAAGGTCAGCAAGCGATACCTCAAAGACTCTATGTTTGAGTCCTTCCGAAGCAATCTGTTAAAATCCCAACACTTGTTAAGAGTATGAATTATGTGAACAATTAAAGATATGTGGAGAGTCTTCTTATGTCAAAAAGAAGTGTTCTTATGTCAAAAAGAAATGTTCTTATGCTCAACAATAATTGCTTTACAAGTGTGCATGAAGAAAGATGAATTGACTATATAATAGCTTTACAATTTTGCATGTCGTATGCAACAACAATAGTGCTAAAAGCAATGATGTCAAATTCAAATATCCAGCTTTAAATTCCAGAACAGAATGGAGTAAATAAAAAGTTTTAAACTCAGAACTGGGGAAAATATCTCAAACTAACAAGAAAAAAAGGTACTCCAAACATTAGAGCTGGCATTAAAATTCCAATGAAGTGTTTAACTCAGAAACAAATGCAACAATGGCTCAACTTCACGCTAAAATACATCTGAACAATGCTAACAAAAAACCCATTTTTCATGAATCCCCGTTTTCCAAACAAACAGATAACAGGGTAATCCTAAAACTCTGAACAGATGCAATCCATACATTCAAAACCAGTAGATAACAAGTTCACAGATTATGGTTCAGCAATAACCACAATCTAATCAACAGCAGCCTAACCACAACCTGATCCAGTGAAGCCAGATGCACGCAACTCTACAGACATAGATGAGACTAAATCTATCTTCTCAAGATAAATTAGAATTAGGCTAATCCCACAACTACTTCCAGCGTATACCACAAATCACGAAAACACAACTACTCAAAAACTAAAACAAAAATGAACCCAAATATATATATATATATACATACAGATAGAAATAATACCTTGGTACCCTGAGTACGGGAGACGAGGGTTTTACCCACATTCTTGTTCTGGAACAATGAAGGGGCCTTGATATCATACCAATCCTTCTTGGCAAACGGATCAGCCCTGTATTTTTAACAAACAAATACAAATGAATAAATCAATATTGAAGCAAAACTAATACGTATAAACCAAATTGTATGAAATGAAAACTGAAAACAAAACTACACAAAAGAAACCCAGATCTGTAGTAAATCAAGCGTAGATTTAAAAAAATGAGCTTACGCTTTCTTCTTTCCTCCTTTCTTGGACTTGGAAATCCTCTTGTTCTTCCTGTGTCAAACAAAGCTCAATGTGTCAGTGACCCGTTTAGCAATTTAACAGCTGAATATACGCATGCAAAGTATGGAGAAAGTACCCAACGGCCATGGTTGGAGCTTGGAAGAGCTGAAGAGCTCAAGGGTGACCTGCGAGACAGACGAAGTGAGAGTCGAAACGGCTGTGAGAGCAAACCCTTTTCGATGACACAAAAACCCTAGCCCTCTCTTATATAAATTGGATAGGTCTTGCCCTTACTGAGCTGGGCTCAGGTTATAGTTGGGCCAGATTTTGTAATTTGTTAAAATAATATGACGGCTCAAGTTATGATTGGGCCTTATATGAGAAAGCCCAAGAAAAGGCCTAAGTTCTGGGCTCTGGCTCTTACCCAAACCCTATTACGTTGTTATAATGGGACACGATGTCATGTGTTCGAATCCCTCCTCCCCCAATATCGGTTAGGTAAAGGAAAAAAATTATGTTACGCTCACTTAAGTTGTTACATACTTATAAGAGGAGTAAAACTGATCCTCTTGTTTGTTGGCAAATTTTTTTATTATTATTATTATTTAAAAGTGAGTGGGTGAGAAAATGAATTATGATTAGGTTAGGTCAAAAGGTTCGATTTTCTTTCATTGTAACCAAAAGAAAAAACAATTTGGATCAACTTTGAAGTCAGATCCAAGACCCTAGTATGGGTTCGGGGTCTGTAGTTTGTGTTTTGAGTCTGAGAGTGTGCGTTCAATGTTTGAGGTCCAAAGCAACAAATTGATACCAAAACATGACATACACTAAAGTTTTGAAGTCATTTATGACTATTTTTAATATATAGAAAACATCAGTCGTGCGTCAAATTTCATATAACAAGAGAGTCAAAAGAGCAAATTGATTGAAATATTTGTTTTGGATTTACAACAAGCCCTCAAATATAATTTCAACAAGGAGACAGATTAAAGAAAAAAAATCGTAATTCTCAGTTGATCATGGATAATGAGATGCCACATGAGGCGGAGGTGGAGGCGGCGAGGGTGGCGGTGGACTTCTTGGTGTGCACCCAAAGGCATCACAATTGACCAAATGGGCATAAAATGTGGCACATTCCTGTGGTGATCGCTGCAATGGCCTATATGCAATACAATTCTTCCTATCATCTTGTTCTGGCAACTTGATGCATATTGGTGGTTCACCACAGAAATAGTTATATGAGTATGTGAAGTTCTCCAACTTAGTCAACGAGCATATGCTAGCAGGAACCTCCCCTGACAATTTGTTCTGTGCCACATTTAGCTGCTCCAAATTCTTCATCCCACCCATAGATTCAGGCAATGCACCCACCAGCTTATTCTTGCTTATATCAAACACTCTCACTTTGTCCAACAACCCTAAATTTGATGGCAGACACCCTCTTAGTCCACTGTTTATGAGTATAACTTCGTTCAATGTGTCCTTCAAATTCGCCAAGCTTGAAGGAATGCAACCCTTGAGGTCATTATTTGCCAAGACAATCACAGAGAGTGAGGAGTTGCCAATGTTTTGAGGCAATGAAAATTGAAACCTGTTATTGTTAAGGAACAATGCATCTAGTTTTAAATTGAAAAGG